TTCTCACTTCCCTTCCTCCCCTCCCCCGCACCCAGCATATATAGTTTGAGCCCCGGTTGCTTGCAGGTCCCAACGAGAGAGTGTCCTTGCTGAGTTGCTGCTCTGCTGGGGTATCTGTGTCCGCAGCGCCGAGACGGAGGGCCATCCGCTGTTGCCGTGAGGGATCAAGGGCATCCGGAGAACGGAGGGATGCACTGGGCGGGGAGAGACAAGGGTGACTAGAGCACCGGGGGGGGGGGGGGGTTTCACGGAGGAAGGGAAATTTATGCCCAACTTGAAAGATGAGAATCTCTCAAAGGTAAAGAGAGAGAAGAACAAGCCCACAGAGCCCATAGCTGGCCGGCCGGGGTTGTTCTGCGAGAGGCCAGCGTGTGGCATGGAGCGTGGAGCCCGACGCGGGGCTCGATCCCATGACCCCGAGATCCTGACCTGAGCCAAAACCAAGAGTCAGATGCTCAACCGACCGCGCCACCCAGGCGCCCCGAAGTAACAGAAGTTTAGAGGGAAATGTTCACCGACATGATGTTAACTTCAGATGTTAAATATGAAACTTCATTTGCATATCATGATTCTGTTTGGAGCATTTAGGGAGAGAAAAAACCTTTCTGTTCATCTGTTCTTACTCTCAGACGTTCAGGGAGAACCCAAAAAAGACCTCAGGAAGAAATTCTTTTCCTTTTTTTTCCTGGGCCCTTTCTTTCCTCTCTGAGGCAATCGGGAAGCTGAGGAATCATCTGGAACAGGCCAGATCGCCATCACCTTCGTGACAGGACGGACGTTTTTCCCTCTCAGGCCTGCTGCTGCAGACGCAGCTGGCCTCTCCCTGCTTTGGGCAGATTCTGGATGGTGTGCCCGGTGGCCCGGGGTCCGGCCAACTGTGGACAGACAGGTTCCTGGGTGGTTCCAGGCAGAAGTCACCACACCCGGGGACTGTCCCAAAGAACAAACCCAGCCTGGGAGAAGGTGGGATGCCGGAACAGGGGTCGTGGGAGAGCTGTGTGGGGCTCCCTGCAGGTGCAGAGCGGGAGCCCACCCTCAAAGCTCAGGCTGGCTTGCATGTCCAACACAGCTGCGCTGTGCGGAGTGACAGGACCGGGCCACTGCAGGATCCAAGGTGTCCTGCACTGGGAGGACCGAGCAAGCTGGAAGGTTGGGCTCTCTAAGGGCCACTTCGGTAGGAGGAGACTTTGGTTCAAGTGTCCTGGGTCCTAACGCATACGTGTGCAACAGACCCAGTGTGAGCTCAAGGTACAGCTGACCCTTGAACTACATGGGGGTTGGGGCACCAACCCCCATGCCATCAAAAATCTGTGTGTGACTTTCGACTCCCCTAAAACCTCAATACTTGACCAGAAGCCTGACTGATAAGCTGAACAGTTGATTAACACGTAGTTTGTATGTTCTATGTATTATATGCTGTATTCTTACAATAAGCTAGAGAAAAGAAAATGTCATTAAGAACATCATAAGGAAGGGGCGCCTGGGTGGCTCAGTTGGTTGAGCATCTGACTCTTGATTTCAGGTCATGATCTCAGGGTAGTGGGATCGAGTCCCATGTGGGGCTCTGCCCTCAGCGGGGAGTCAGCTTCTTTCTCTCTGTCTGCCCCCTTCCCACATGCTTGTGCTCGCTCTCTCTAAATAAATAAATCTTAAAAAAAAAAAAAAAAGGAAAATCATAAGGAAGAGAAAATACACTTATAGCCCGGGACTGTATCTATTGAAAAAAAAAATCTGTGTATAATTGGACCGATGCAGTTCAGACCCATGGTGTTCAAAGGTGTTTGCATTCTTTGTACGACATTCAGACCGTTACTACTCCCAGCATCCCAACATATCTCTGAAAGATAAAAGTCTCTACATACACCTGAAGCGAATAGAACACTGTGTGTTAACTATACTGGAATTAAACAACAACAACAAAAAACCCCCACCTCATTCTACCATTCCCTAGTTAAAAAAAAAAAAGTCTTTGCAAAACTTTAAAATCCCCAGCAATACAGGTTGGTAAATGGTATGGCTTTCTTCCGCCTTACAAAGCCTGGGGCAGAGAGGGCGGATCTAGACAGCTTTAGTAGTAGTCTTCCCTCCCACAGGTCAGTAGGGGCGATTTTGTTGTTTTCCCGCCCTTGGAGCTCACCCTGGGCCCACCGTCCAGGCCAGACCGTCCGCCCGGAGACGCACATTCTCTGGGCCCGCATCCCAAGCTCTGTGTCACAAAGGCCGCGGCCCTCCCTCCTGCTGGCTAATGAGCCCCTGGTAAAAAGTGTCCCAATCCACATTCGTGTTTTTCTTTTGGCCACTAGCTAATTGCCCAATTATTTTATTTCCCCAGCAAAACTTCAGTCGGCCTGGAATCCACATTCAGGACTAAAAGCCTATGTCCAGGGAGTCAGGGGATTTGTCCTCTGTCTGTCTGCTTCTCCGTGGCCCTTGCCCAGCCCAGGCCCGACCCAACTGAGTCCCCAGCTTGTCTGGGGCCGGTGGGGGGGGCGCCCTGCCCGCTTCAGAGGTCAGGCAGAACTGTGCCCTGGAAAGAGCTTCTGGGTGTGGAAGGAATTCGGGCCTAGGAATCGAAGGCTGGGCTTTCTGCCGGCAGCCATCAGAAACTGTGGGAGCTTGGGCAAGTGGTCACCTCTCTGAGCTTCGCTCTTCTTGGCTTTAGAAATGGGGGCAGCGGGGGTCGGGGGGCAGATTGGCCTGGACAGGCCATGTTGGCTCTCAGCTCCCTGAGTCTACAACATAGTGGGGGAGTAGAGCAGGCGGCCCCTTGCTGGGCAAACCCTCTGGGGTTTGCCAAATGCTCCCAGACTCTCCCCCCCTAAGGGAGGTCCCCAGGATCTGGAAGCGTTCTGTTTCCCAACTGTGGACCACCTGCCCACGTGCCCACAGGCCCCGAGGGGCCCCGCGAGCACCGGGTTCCGGAAGCCCATTCCTCAGTCAGAGATGCTGGGTGTTGGCTGGTTGTTTCAGTTCCCACTGAGGACAAAGTTCTAGAGTCGTCTCTGTGCTGGGAGGCCACCCCAGGAGCCCAGTGACAGGCCCGGGGGAGGCGGGAATCCAGCAGAGGACGGTCTTGCTCATTGACTTTCTTCTTGGGAAAGTGAAGTTTCAGTGTAACTGGTCGGTGACCCCAGGGGCAAAAGGGGCTCTGGACACTGAGGATTCCCAGGGGTCCTCAGCCCTGAGGGGTCTCCTGGGGTCAGGGGGAGAGCCTCATGTCCTCGTGCTCGGTCGGCCGGGGAGTAGCAGCACCGGGGTCCTGACCTCCCCCAGCCCTGGGACAGCAGGTCCCTGTGGAAACCAACACAGGGGGCCACACGGCCTCACTGTGAACTTCCAGCCCCCAGGGGGCTCCTGGGGCCTAGACGATGGGGGCCTGGGGAGGAGGTCCCTGGCCTGCGCGGGGCAGCCCGGGTGTTACTTCCTTGGCACCACCCTGGCCCGTGATAAGCCACCGGGCTTCCTCTCTGTAAGTGGACTCTTGCATATTTATGGAACAGCCGCTCAGGATAGCTTCCAGGGACTAAGGGCCACGGGTCCTGGGTCGCCTGCGAATGTGACACTCTGCACCTTTTGGCTTGACTTAAGGCCCAAATGTTTGCATCAAGTAAGTTCCTGCTGATCACTTGCAAAGAAAAGCCGCAGCTCTGCTCCCCGGCAGAGGCCGCGCTTGGCCCAGAGAGAGCAGGAGGCCCGTAGGGCCCTGCGGTGCAGGGGGGGTTCAGACCACGGGAGACGTGAGCTCCTCCCTCCCTCTGCGTTGCTCCTTCCCTGAGCGGTATTCTGACTTTGCATCTGGAAGGTGCATGCGGACACCTGCCTCCTCTGTTGTTGCAAATACCTGCTCAGAGCTGAGAACAGTGCCTGGCATGCGGTGAGCACTCTAGAAACGATTGTTCTTGTTGGGACCATTGTTAGAAAGGCCACAGGTAATAAGGGGGGCAAACCGTTATTGTGCACTTACTGTAAACCAGGCTCTGGGATGCGCCTCCTCCATGTGCTAATGCATTTGCTCTCCAGACTAGCCCTGTGAAGGAGACCCGATTATTACCACCTCTCCTTCAGAGGGGGAAACTGAGTCACTAAGGCCTTGAGGAACTTGCTAGAAGGTCCAACAGCCAGCAAGGCACACAGACCCCATATTTGCACCCAGCCAGTCTAAACCTGTGTTTGGGAGGCCCCGGGAGGCTCCCACTCCCGTGTGCTCCCCACCTGAGGCTTTGGACAGGACATGACTCTGGGCAGCTATGGCCTCGCCTTCCAGGTCCCTGTCCCTTGACCCGGGTCCCCCTGAGCACCGGTATGAGTCCACGGCCGGACTTGGGGCGTGGAGCACTCCCAGAGTGGCTGGCACAGCCTGACGGGCCTCGGCTGTGGGACTGCGAAGACGCTTGCAAAGTTGTCCTTTGTGGCACCGCCGGAGAGCCGGACCTGAGCGCGGCAGCTTCCTCGGTCAGGGACAGCACATGGTCTTCCGAGGGCCTGTGGAGAGCAGCAGGAGGGGGCCCGCAGGAACAGAGAAGGGGGGAAGACGGGTTGCGGGCTTCTGTGGGAGCTCGCTGAATGGGGCCTGGCCCAGAGCAGGCAGGAATGCAGAGTCCTCGCCCTCCTTCCTTCCTGATGAACACACGGAGACCCAGACTGGCCTCCAGGAAAGAAATTTCAACAGTTGCCTGATAGGATTCTCTTTCTTACAGAATAGGCCCACTTTTTCATAGGCTGGGACCGGGGTAGGGCCCGGGAAATTCAACAGGCACTGAAATCATCCCTGAGCTGCCCAGACAGCAATGGCCAGAGGCCCCGGGCTGGTGTGGCATCCAGACAGGCCTCTGTGCCCGTTCTAGACAGCCCCCTCCTCCAGGCTCCTGGACCCGCCTGGCCGCTGAGCTCCCAGGAGTTCCGAGGGGTGTGGCCTGGCTCCCCCCACCCCCAGGCCCGGCCCAGGGCTGGCTATAAAGCCGGCCCAGCCTGACCCTCAGCACAGCCAGCCAGGACCCTCCCGGAGCCGCCCCCGGGGACACGTCTGTCGCTTCCGCGGCTCGGGCTCGTGCGCGGCCCCATGCGGCCACTGTGGCTGTGCTGGGCTCTTTGGGCGCTGCCCTTCCCCGGCCCCGGGGCCGCCTTGAGCGGGGAGCAGATCCGGGGCAGCCTGCTGCGGCAGCTGCACCTCAGCCAGGTGCCCGTCCTAGACGGGGGCGACGCTGACGGGCTGGTCACCCCTGCCCACGTGACAGCCCAGTACGTGGCCCTGTTGCAGCGCAGCCACGGCACCCGCTCTCGAGGGAAGAGGTTCAGCCAGAAATTCCGAGGTGAGGCCTCCCTGCGGCTACGCCCCGCTCCTTGTCGGGGTGCCAACCGGGAGCTCAGGGGTTAGGGACATGGGGCGTGTGGGGAGGGTGTGGAACACGTCCCACCGTTGGCCTCCGGACTCGGTAGCCCCGCTAAAGCTGCTCACGGGCCCCGGACTCCTCTTGGGGACATCTCCCCGGGCATGGGAGGGAGATGGGAGGAATTCAAGGCTCTTGCTCTGCTTCTTAGGACACTCAGCCGGCCACCAGAGGTCTCCATGGCAGGGCTCTCTGCCCCCCCTCCATTGCCCACCTCCCCCCCCCCCCTTTTGCAGTGCCCTTTGCCCAAAGAAGGCTACAGGTCTGGGGGCCTGGCTGGCTCAGCAGGTGGAGGGTGTGACTCTTGATCTTGGGTTTGTGAGTTGGAGCCCCCGCTGGGCCTACGTAGAGATTACTTAGAAGTAAAATGTTCAAACAAACAGAAAAGAAGGCTGCATGTCTGTGCGCTTGAGGGGCAGCCCCAGCCCCCACATTCTCCCTGGCATCTCCCTGGGGACTGCTGGGGAAATGCTGTTCACTGGCCGGGGGCCCAGCCCCCTCGCAGCCGCCCTGGTGCTGCACAGGCCTCCTGACCCTGCTCCTGTCCCCAGAGGTGGTGGGCAGGTGGCTGGCGTCGGAGGCCTCCACGCACCTGCTGGTGTTCAGCATGGAGCGGCGGCTGCCCCCCAACAGCGAGCTGGTGCGGGCCGTGCTGCGCCTCTTCCAGGAGCCGGTGCCCAGGGCCGCGCTCCGCAGGCTCGAGCGGCTGTCCCCGCACAGCGCCCGCGCCCGCGTCACCGTCGAGTGGCTGCACGTCCGCGAGGACAGCTCCAACCGCACCTCCCTGGTGGACTCCAGGTGGGGGCTGCAAGCGGGGAGGGGGCGGGGGAGGAGGGATGGGGAGGG